AAAGTCGGACTGTATATCAATTTTGTACACTACAAACTCGGGGCTGGGTGGCAACTGACTGACTCTGAAATGAAATGAGTAGGGTGGAATCAATAGTGTAAGGGTAAAACCATGTAAGAGCTAGATGGATATCAGTTTCTATTTTTTTGAAAAATCAAGCTGTAGTGTACTGTGGGGTGTAGTGGGGTGTACTTTGGAATGTCATGGTGTGTAATATGGTGTTAACACACGTCATGGGCATACTGTGGTGTTCACGTACATCATTGGGTGTATACAGCGTGTCATAGGTAGTGTTACTGTATGACATGGGGTGTACGGTGATGTTAACATATGTCATTGGGTGTATGATGATGTTAAAATATGTCATTCGGTGTATGGTGGTGTTAACATATGTCATTGGGTGTATGATTGTGTTAACATATGTCATTGGGTGTATGGTGGTGTTAATATATGTCATTGGGTGTATGGTGGTGTTAACATGTGTCATTGGGTGTACAGTGATGTTAACATGTCATTGGGTGTATGGTGGTGTTAACATGTCATTGGGTGTACGGTGGTGTTAACATGTCATTGGGTGTACAGTGATGTTAACATGTCATTGGGTGTATGGTGGTGTTAACATGTCATTGGGTGTACGGTGATATTAACATCGACAATAACACACTACACATATGTCATGGGGTGTACTAAATGGAAATAATGGATAAGACATCTAATAGCGTGATATTAATTACTACTATTTTTTCACACATTTACAATTGTTCTTAGTGAGTCATGAATATCATAACGAGAGTACAATAAATTACGGTGCCTGGCAACGGTGGCCCAGTGACGTCAATCGATGTGGACCCGTACTGCACATTGGCCCTCTGACGTCTGGCCTAAATGTGCCTCAACGTTAAATCTTATTGTTTTTCCCGTCATATGCTATTTTATACAATCATATAATACTCATTGTACAATTTGGAGTCGCAAAGCTGAACATTGATAATATAATGAACATAATACAAACCTACGTCGATTACCCTTCACGATATATCAGTTTACTCCCTGTTCCCATAGAAACACTGAAACAAAAACAGTTCCCTGGGGCTATTATAGATTGTTGGTATCTAGTAAATAATTAGAAGTTGTTTTCTCAATGCACGTACAAAACAGTTTTGTTTTCATCTTATTACAGCTGATTATTATTCCAACCACACAGCTGAATGCACACATGGGTCGTGTTTACATTATCAGCCAGTGTATTGTAAGCTGACCGTCATTTATTAGTCCCACGTCAAACACCAGTAATACTGAATCCAAGTGGGGAACATTAAACAAACAACCAAAGCTTTTATTTTAGTGTGTTTTATATTTACCACGGACTGAACGTCACAGACCCTTATTGCATATTGTGTGTCATACGTGACAACAAGACACGAAAACGTGCACAAGTGTATGAATTCCATCAACAAAAGTGTTTAGATATTTAAGGTTATTTTGCCGAACTGACTACTTTATTATTGAATAGTTCGTCCATCAAGTATCTATATACTTACATGAGATGTCAATGCTTTCAAGGCTTGTATTTTAAAGTGGGTGCAGCATTTCGCTGAGAAGTGGGCAGTAGAGTGTGGATACAGCCGTGATAAGTATTGCCGAAACGTACACACATAAAATATCAAACAGGAAATCCCTTTCCCTTGGATTGAATAAGTTTATATAAAAAACCCGAGTGTGCCGAATTCTGCTTTTCATGAAACATATTTCATACTACATTGCGTAGACAACATGTACCATCCATGAAACATATTTAATACTACATTGCGTGGACAACATCTACCATCCATGAAACATATTTAATTGCGTGGACAACATGTACCATCCATGAAACTGTCCAAAATTGTCTAAAATGGTTTGCATGGTGATTATCAGCACGGTACTTACGTAAGTCACATGGATAAGTGTACATATAACATCTTGATTATGCTGCCCCATGAATTGGAAAAATAGCGAGTATAGTCTGAATTGTCGTCGAGTTGTGATGTTTACCCTTGCGATTAAGTGTACACATCGCGATAATTAGCTTAACCTAGTTCGTTTCAGCATAGACCCTCAACAAATTTTTGTTGAGGGTCTATGGTTTCAGCAAACACTTTCGAAATTGCAGAATACATTGTGGACCAATTATACCTACTTGTACGTATACCGCCGTTCCGAACAATGTACTCACCCCGCTGTTATTGAGGTTACATAGATCCATACAATGCGCTCACCTCTATGTTATACTGGCTATAAAATGTAAGATTCTGTCATTCATAGCTTAATTTGAGTTTACTAGCAATTACTAGCGCCTAAATTCCCTGTAGTGAATCTAACAAACACATACTAGGAAATATAAGAGCCATACGTATGCATATAGATACATTTCGTTATGAATTATTCTTAATACATTTCGTAATTTTCTTGTCAGAATCAGTTGTTTTCAGGTTTTTTATAATGTCTAAAACGGAAAGTATTTATCGTAGTGGCATGATAACAAAACCGGTTCTGAAAACTGTAGGTGTATAATCTGTTTACGTCGATTTTAAAACAAAGGCTAAATAACTTCATACAAGAAAAACGTAATATAATTAAAGAATAAATTGGCTTCATGCCTGCATAGAGCAGCAGAAAAAAGCAAAACAAGTTTCTACTCTAACAGCTACTAATAAAATATAAACAACTATTTTTCGTCTGTTTGACCGAACTCTAAAAAACACCTCAGACTCGGTTTGGCACCAAGGTCACTTACTTTACAAACTAGTGGAAATTGCCATTACTAGAAACTTTTATAATGTAGTTGAAGTTATCTGCCAAAATCTCGACTGCTAAAAGTGAAAACAAGAATAGGAATCATATTCCCTGGTGAACATATTCAAGAATGAAAAAAAAAAATGATAAATTGTTTTCAACATACTACTTCACGACCTTCATGTCACCTGCATATTAAGTATTGTAAATTTCTGCCAAAGGTTAATAACTTAACAAACATTGCATGTGTTCATGAAATGGAGATAAATCCACTAATAACCTCTAAAAGTTAACTATTCACGAGTACATGCAAAAGAGAACATTTACTTGTATCGACGAACAAAGTTTTCAAATAAAAATCTGAAAAAAAATCTACAGAGAGCGTTGACTTTGATGAGCATGTGGAATCATATCTACAACAGCAGGAAACAGAAAATAGGTTTTTCTAACGGGCAGTATAGTGAAAGGAGAATTGTTAAGGTCAATGTCAATCGTGGATATTGTTAACATCTTTGTTACACAGTGCTTTAGGAAATACACGCCTTTGATGGGTAATGCACATACATTTGAAGGTTTCCTATAATGAGTCAACAATTGTCGTATTGTGTAGATTCCAAAGAAACCAACTACATTACACGCGGTGTTTGATGTTTTTCTTCATTTACTGAAAGCTGCTATTACAGTGCACAATTTGCCGTAAGTACAACTTTCTTGTATATAAGCTTTATTCGTGTAACACGTAATCATTTAAGGAATCTTATTCAGTTGTTACCGAGTTTTACTGAGATGATTATCGTAAATCTTGATTACTTATGTCATATGAGACATGGTTTATTTCGATCGCCACGTGTAGCACATGAAATGCGGCATGTTGAGTGGGGGGGGGGGGGAATTCGGCATAGCAACCTACACAAGAACCCATTAAGTTTATAATTTAGCGTAAATATTTTGCGTATTCTTGTCGCGTTTCAGTTCGTTGACTAGTCGAACATTTGTGCACAGAGAGATAAAGATAAACGTCCAGTAGTTGACATTCAGCAGCAATGAAGCAGTGTATACGCTATTATCTGCTTCGTTTATTCCCAGTAAAGTGTAATGACGTCTGTACATTCAGCGTAATGACGTACTACGTGTACAAATAATCTGTTTGTATTACGTATGGAGAAGTTAGCAGTGTTGAAAGCTGACATTATCATTATCTGAAAATGTAATAAAAACGATGTCCAAAATTTAAATGGAAGTGTGTATATATTATGATCTAATATAGTACAAGGAATCTAGCACGTCATTCACTGAATGTGATTTCTGTTCATAATAATTTAATAATAATAATAATTTTTTTATTAATTGTATAATGGCCTCCGGCCCATTACAA